CTCTCTCCCTCCCTCCCTCTCTCCCTTCCTGTCTTTCTTTCTTTGACGGACTTTCTGTGCCCGGTCTCGATACCACTCTGACTGTCTCGGCATACGCTGACGACGTCACCGTTTTTGTCACATCTAACAAAGGATTTCAAATTTTCGATCAAATTTATACCCTGTCTGCATGTTTAAATACCAACAGGTGCCAAGGTTTATGGGTCAGATCTTGGACCAAAAGATCTGATTGTCCTCTCAGTTTTAAGTGGAATAATCAAGATCTTAAATTTATTGGAGTTTATCTAGGAAATACCGAGTCCTCACGACAAAAAAATGGAAAATGTGCAGAGATAAACTCAACAATACCCTCGCTAGATGGAGTGGCCTGGCTCGTACCACATCTTTCAAAGGAAGAATAATAATTGCCAATCAAATTGCCGCTTCAAGACTTTTTCATTTTTTGACAGTTCTTCCTCCTCCCAGTCACGTCCTGGATCAACTCCAAGAACTTTTGATTAATTTTGTTTGGACCGATAAACGTCACTGGCTTAAAAGACAAATTGTGTTTCAACCTCCAGACAAAGGAGGCCTGGGGTTGATCTGTTTGAAAGCTCGTTTTATGACGTACAGATTTTCTTTGCTCCAGCGACTGATATGGCAAAATAAACGTCCCTCTTTTCGTTTCTTCGTTTACTGTATCCGCCAATATCGGAACCTAGGTCACGATGTACAATTACTGTACTCCAATCTGGAGAGGGAATATCTCCCCACTCTTCCCGTCGTTCACGGAAAAATGTTGCAATCTTGGATTACATCGAAAGCCTCAATGAGCACACTGCCGAACTCTTTTGAGTTGTATGTAATTTACCGTTAAATAGCATTTTTTTTATGTAGTCACGCCAACGTCGACCTGCTCTCTGGTCGTCTCCTGTCGCTGGGCATCACGCTGTACGGAATCTTCTCCGGGAAGACAGAATGTGGATCTCTGCCGACGACGTTCAACAGACACAGCACAGGACAGGTCTTCGTCCTTTGTCCTCCCGATCCTTGGAAACTGACCTTGTCGCAGCCAGGAAAGTACTTGTCGAAATCTTCCCCCGCGACTTTAATGCCCGGGGGCAACTGTCAAAGCACTCCGTGTGCCAGAAACTGACGAAGATACGCTTCCAGATATAACAATAAACGACCAGACAAGCTCGGCCAGCTTCGGCTCCAAATACATCTACACGAGCTTCAATAGAGAAACGAACGACCTTCCAGCGCGTCCGCCCACACCTTGGCATAAGGACACCTTGGACGCGGATACATCCATTGCCTGGAAAAACATAACAAATTACCCACTTCGAGGAAGTACTTCATCACCTTGACCGCACCATTTCAAAGAACTGTGGCTGGTGTGGATATTCGGAAAGAGGACCGCTGCTACATCTCTTCTTCCACTGTCCCTCCTTGCAACCAGCCTTGCGCAAACTACACGAGATTTTCTTGGATCTTTTCCCGGGCATGCAGTTCTCCTTTGCGACCTCCTGGTGTTTGATGCGGCGAAACAGGGATCGACCGAGAGAGTGGGTGGACTTGGCCAATTATCTCAACCTCTGCCTCACTCAACCGTTTACTATTCATATGTACATAAGAACTTTAAAGATCCCAAAGAAACCTGGATACATCGTGTCAGGTGTAAAGTCTTGATAGAATACAGGTACTCTGCACAAAAATGATACAGCTGCATTCTGTCAAAAATGGAACCCCGACATGTGAAGTGGACAATAACGATTTAATTTGGAATATCTAAAAAAACATTTCTTCCGTCTTACATTACCGATTATTTCATGAACATGCAAGCTTGTTTTGTTTGGTGTTTTGTTGCGAAATAGAAAGGTTTCATTTGCAAAAGTCAAAAGTCTTTATGATCTTCACTCTCCAAAAAAGCCTTTTACATGTTACAGAAAAGTTTGCGTGTTAGACAGACTCGTTCTTTGTATGCAGTGACATGTTTTTCGCGCCTCTCATCCTCCAGTGTATCTGTTTGATTCCCGAGGAACCTGGTGATCGAATCTTCTCTCCACACTAGATTGTGCGTGTGCTTTACCACAATGGATATTGCCCGGGATGACACCTATGCAGTGCCCACGCCATACTCTTTCCTTTCAAAGTATACTCTGTGGGCGCTTTTACTGAATTATTTCGTCCGCGATTGAAGACTCATAGTTCATTACCCTCCGCCATGCATAAATATATACATCTATAAAGATCAAATTAGTTTGTCCTGCCTGGGACACCAAATAGCAATGCTGATCGGGTGAGAAAGACAAACTCCCCTGACCGTTCTCTTCAAACGTGAACAGCGGAATCTAATCAATCCTTTCTGGGGAAGAAAATTAAGTCGGGGACAGGTTTCAGCAGTTCATGCTAGATTACTTTGCGGTCACGTTATACACCTGTGTGTATAATTAGCAACAGTTTGCATGTCTCACAGTGGAGGTGTTTCAAACAGTGAAATGTTTTGCGTCAACTCTGAAAATTCAAGGAGGAAAGACATTTGGCGGATTTTTGGTGTTTAAGCAAAATAACAATGACAATAATTTATAAAATATGTTGCTATCCTTATTCCTTAAATGGATTGTTCTCTTTCTGAATAGACCTACTCTTTCATGACAGCCATAGTTCATTATAGTTGTTTACCCCCACGAGTAGACCTCTGTGCATTCACTGTTATTGGATTGAAAATAACCTACAACAGAATGAATTATGCACAGTGCAACAGTTGTTAATTCAGTTTCCGGTACAGTTGCTTTCACGGTATTGTGACGTCACGCCCCCCCCCCGACGAAGGCGAGGGCGCCCATCTCCTCAGAGTGCGGCGCCAGACGGCACGTATACCGGAAGGTCCCTAAGCGGCAAGGGACTAGTCCATTGGGATGGAAGTATACCGTCCCCCAAGAAAGTTCGATGATCTCTGTTCAACGTTGGGGAAAGCCTAAGCTGATTGGCCCAATGTTCAGTGACGCAACCTGGATAGCAATGGCTTAAAATAAACTTAGCCTGGACACCTGACTTATAAACAACAATCAGTGCCGAGTCAGTGACTTGAGCAAGTCTATGGGACTTGTCAGGGCTGCGCTAAACACAACTCGTGTCATAAGACAGCAGTCCGCCCTTATATCGACCGCAAGATCCTATCAGTAACAATACCGCACCACCAATTAGCCCCTCAACCTACCGAGCCCCTCGACGACACACGCACCACTTGGGACTAAGGCACAGTCACACTAGGCTAGGTGACTTTAACCCTTGCACAGGATTCTCTGTCACGTCACAATATGTACGAGCATGGCTCCTCTAGCTTCACACTACGGTCTAGTATTTTAGTAGCGTTTTTAATGAAGTGTAATGCAAGAAAATCGTTCTTTACTGAGCTGACAGGTTCACCAAACTGTTAATTGGTTCTTGAAACCAGTTCTTCATTAACAATTGGTGTCCCACCTTTTTTAAGTAGAAGATTACAGGCCTACGTCTTACTAGTCATTTCATGTTTTGCATTACGACCTCGTGAAACCGTCTTGGTGTATTTGAACTTGTCAGAAGACAGTAGTCAGGCGGAAATGTTTAATAGACCAATTGCACCCGCTAAATTAGGTGACTTATAATGGGTATCAACCCCATACCAACGTGTATTTGAGTGTTGTTTACAAACAATCCAGCCAATTTACAGTATGCTACCCAGCATAGGCCTGTGTGTGGTCTGAATAAAGGCACCTACCGTTGCGTCGGCTTTAGTTTGGTAAATGAAACTTATGAAACACTTTGCTTTTGGTGGGCGCCGTGTTTGTTGAGATTTAATACCCACTATACGCCGTGTGACCTAGCGGGCGGAGTCGGTCTATTAAGGCCTGAAATAAAAGCTTTAATCCGCAGAGCAATACTGGCAGCGGCGCACTAGCCTGAAAAACTTTGATTCGCTTTCTATTTAATGTGCACCCTTTATATTCCTGCTTGGATTAGGCCTACAAATCTGGTTTGTATGGATCCAAGTACGCCTGGATGATCTTCGGTCACTACGAGCCAAAATGGTGGTTGGATGGGGATCTCTACGGCTGTACACAGGAGGAGATGACCGCTGCCGTTGAGGGCGCTATCTCAGTTGGGTTCCAGACGCTGAGTACCGAAGAAGTGGAAACCATTGGCAGAATTGTAAGTTAAGTTAAAACTGCTATTAACAAGTTTGGGGCATTGTACAGTGCCCCATGCATATCTACTATCCGTGTTGGCTTAAAAAGAAATCGGAACTGTTATTGCTCGCCTTGCCCAATGATAATGCAATGTAGTTTAGCCTATAACACAGCACTTGCAAGCAAAAGATCATGCATTCTTTTATTGTTTTTTATCGCAGATACTCGATAGCAGAGTCTATGAACTGTTTAACAAATGCTGTAATAGGGAAGAATTCTTCTGACTATAACTTATGGCAATCTTCACGTGGAATTAGCCTGAGAAAATCTGTTATATTATTTGCCTCACGTACGAGTTTACCACTTGGGCATCTGTAGTCACAAGGGAGGTGATATCTATAAATATTTTAAGATTTCAGATGGAAAAAGATGACGCGGCAGATCAACCTCATTATGATCCTACAGCGACGTAGTCTGGCTCCTTGAACTAATGATTCCTGACCAATCTAGCTTAATAAAATTTTAGGCCAGGTACTGTTCACAGTTAAATTGATTCTTTACGCACCATGTCAGTGGTCACCAAAAAAGCCACGTCTTGGCTGGAAGCTATTGCATTTCATTTGCAGGATGTACTTCATGGCACAAAATGCACAAGAATTTTAACATTAAGACATTCAGAATCGAGTGGGCTATACTTAACCAGCTACCCGCTGGATGTCGTGAAAGAGACATATTTATAGAAGCAGGTGTTTTTGGTTTTATCGGTCACTTTGTTAAGACAAAGCTTACTTATCTGTGTCAATAACACCACAAGCTGTATACCATTGCAAGGAGGAATCCTGCCCTTTCTAGATATATTTCTTTTCCCCATATATAAAGCAATTTTTGTCACCGTATACTTTTATGTGGACACCCTGCACACGGCTAGATATGTCCGATCGTGAACAATGTTATGCAAATGTTAACGCCAGCAAGTTCGGAATATTTTTGGAGTTACATGTTGGATCCTTGAATCGAAAGAGAATAGTCGGATCCATAAGTCTGGGAACCAGACTTATAGCGGCGGTGCCAGGATTCTCACTATAAGAGGGCGACCGGGGGAGCCGTATTTTGTTAAAAATACTTTTCATTTTTTTTTGTTTTCCAAGTTTCTTGCTACAGTGCGCATATAAATAACTTTGACAAAATCAGTGAACAAAGGTCATTTGGAGGTCCGATTTACAAGTTTACTTATATGTAAAGTCTGTTCCATTGGTTAACTTTCAGACTCCCTCCGAGTACCGAGACATTATGCTGGCAAAGACAGGCACAGATTACAGAGTGGAGATTAAACCCACCCCGTACGCATATGATGCCGTCTGGGCAGCCGCGTTGGCCCTCAATGCCACCATTCCAGTCATTCAGCCTAAGACGCTAGACCAGTTCTTCTATAGCGACACCAAAATGACACGCTCCTTTTGTAAGAGTCTGGACGAGCTCAGTTTCATGGGCGTTTCAGTAAGTGTACTGAATATGTATTTCATGCGTTTTATTTCTGCTTAATTCAGTGTGTAAGTTTGCTTTATTGACGGTTAGTTGAACTATTAGTATCTGCAAAATCATTTCCTTACACCTATTGGCATCTTCTTTTAAGTGTTCTTATCTTGCAATTCTTCATGTCACTTTTTATCAACGTTGTGATATAAATCTGTATCAGCGAGTTGGGCAGGGGTACAGGGGATGACTGGTGAGGGCGGAGCGCTAGGAATCATGCCAAATTGGGGGTGCATTCATTGGTGGCGTTTTATGTGTCGAAAAGTGAAGGGGTGAATGTAGGATTTACAAGCCACAGGTTGAGAAAATCAATTAATATGTGCACCCCCCCAAAAAAGACACGTATCAATATTTTTGTGATGGCTAATACTTTGTGAAAACTTTCATCTGCACCTAGCGCTTCCCCCGCAAAAGCAAATGTTTTGTATAGTGTTACATTCGACAGTACATCTAACGATGCCGCCTGGTAGCGATGTGCCATTCTTCCAAAGCAAATTGGGCGAAGGAATAAAGAAACTCTGACCTAAAAGCATACTGCCAAACTCACATGGAGCTCATGAACAGCAACTGAACTAAAATTAAATTTCTATAAGGGCATCTGGGGGTGAAATAAAATATTCAAGGGGCATTCATTGCAAGTGACCATCATCATCGTCACGGCCACCGTCATCGTTTTGGTCCAATGCAAAATAAAACATGGGGCATCGGGGGCGCAGACCTCGGCTGGCAGGTTAGACCTCTGCCCGTAGACCTCAAATTTACGGCTTCGATTAAAATATCGCAGGGCCATATTGTTACCAATGAGAGTGAGTGCATGGATATGTATAACTCTCCGATGTCGTCCTCAAATTATTAGCCATCCTCCCCCAGTAACATAGGCTTTTAAAGGATCCCTGCATTTTTATCGGTGCAAAGAAATTTCCTGGTACTGTCGTCATGCATCACACTAGGGTCCTAACTGAAAATGTTTATGCATAAATATTTTCCCTGTTTTGAGAGCAATGAAATCTAAAATAATATGAGCCTAATACATAGAGGTATTGTTGGCTATCAAATTGATAAAATCTGAAAGGAAAGAAAGTAATTCGTTTTATCAGAAACTCAGCCAAATTGCATAACGTGCCTTCATATTAGTACACTAATCTTACACTGTATCAGTCCATCTTTTCTGAGACCAATTCTAAATCTAATTTTAGCTTATTTGTGAGTTACGCTATACTACTTCTGTCTCATAGGATGTAGGTTTGCGGGTACACCATGTAAAAATGCTCTTTTGGGAAGAGGTGTGGTTCTGAGAAGAACCACACCTCTTCGCCGCAAACCTACATCCTATGTACTTCCGCCATGCAAAGCTTGAAATCTTCTGTCTCGTAATTGATTGCGTGGGTGTGAGAATGACCATTATATTGTACGTGTCACACACAAAAACAAAGAAACAAAGAAAGAAAGAAACAAACAAACCAAAACTGGAGGAGGGCAGTCCTACTGCCCACCCCTTCCCAAAACTGGAAACATATATCCCCTATTCCCTGGGAATTAACGACCATGAGTTAATGTCATATACATTTTTATCAGTCTGTTTTTATAGCTGTCCGTTTGTTTTATAACTGTCTGTTTCCTGCGTGTTGAGTTTTTTGGTTTCGACCTCGTATCTGTAATATTCTTCACTGCAAGAATATTCACAAAACATTTCGTAAACAACATTCTTTTTGTGTCCGCAAAAATAAATATGGTAACGCCCTGCCATTCAGAAGGTATGCAGAGGTGGATCCAGGGTGGGGTGGTAAATGGAATTACCAGTGGAATGACGGAAAATGAGCAGGCCTACCAAAAAAATCTTGGACGGGGATCGCGCCGTCCGTCTATCCATCTATAAGTAAACAATTATACGATTTTCAGTGGATCCCTGCACAGGATATCCCTTCAGTACGCCCCTCAACCCCCCCGTCTCCTGAAAGCTAGATTCGTCCCTGGTATGCATTATTAATATTATGCAGCAGCGGGGTGAGGAGCTCTACAAGCAAACCAATGCGTTGTCTGATTACATGTGTATAGTGTAATACATATTGCTTATGTGCTGTTCAGTATCTGGTTTCGGCACACGACAGCCCACTACCCCTGTGCCCCCCCCCCAACGACTTGCTAGACCTGATTCTGGGTACGTGTTCATGAATGTAACAATGATTCATATTTATGCAGAGCGATAATGGTTGCTCTTGCTACATAACGGACTCGTCCATTTATTCCTGGGATGTCTACAATCGATTAGTGCCAGATTCTTTCATATCTTGCATTAGTACCCCTTTTAATACGACGCTTAAAAGACAAAGTAAACATAACTATTCAAGAACAAATCTATCTTTTTCTGGTAAAAGAATCGATGCTTTTATGGTAAATCATCTTTTGAGGATAATGTATACACCCTCTTCAATGAACGAGACTGTGGTTTGCAACAGCATTCAATTGACCAATCAAACTGCCCCTTAAATATAATATATTCATATTATCGCGATTCTTAGTCAGTCAGAGTGCTCTGTTCAGTTTTGGAAGCAAGCCCCATATGTGTGCACAAAAAGGCTTGCAGATTGTTCAAGTCGATAATTGGGCACCGTCTGAAACACATTTTGGGGAGCAAGGTTGCACAGACCGTTCCCGCGTGTTATTAAACTGCTCGCCGAACCTTAGCGCGTATGCATCGCCAGAAAAATGGACCGACTTGATTTCAAGTCTAGCCAGAAACAGAAATTGACACGTGAATAAAATGTAAGATACAATGAATATTGATTTTTCTGTCGCTTTTACGAACAAGTTTATTTATTGATGAATGAAAAATATGCTTCATGCATTTCTTGCCACAAACTGTTTGTATTCTTTTGTTAATTTTCGTTTTTCATTATGTATAAAGTTATTCATCCCACGGAGTCAATAAAACAACTAGGAAAATGTCACTCTAATTTTTAAAAGACACGAATTTGGAAAAAAAAAGGTAAAGAGAACAACAGGATCCAAAATTACTTTCAACACTTTATTAATGTTTGACTTTCAATGGAAACATGTTTCTAAGATGTCTGCATCTCAATGGCGAGTAATGGAATAACAAGACGTCAGTGGTGGAGCCACCTGCATTATCCAGCTCAGATTACCAGCCGGTATAAAACCGATAGCCCCGATAGCCTTGAATTACTGCCTGCCGTTTCCCTGGGGCAGGCATGACACACTGATTGAAGGTAAACCCATCTTCCCCATGCAGGGTCTGGTTTCCTTCGACTCGAACGGAGACAGGCGAGGCGAGTTTCGAATCAGGAGAATTATCAGTAAGTAATTACCACCAAACCGTTCTGAAGGGATTAAACCGTTTCCATGACGATTTGATTGGAGGTATGATGTTTAGAATGCTATGGAAGTTTTTCCTGAAATAATCATCACATACAGCTGATCGATTGGTTAAATAATCATCACATACAGCTGATCGATTGGTTAATCGATCAGCTGTATGTGATGATTATTTCAGGAAAAACTTCCATAGCATTCTAAACATCATACCTCCAATCAAATCGTCATGGAAGCGGTTTAATCCCTTCAGAACGGTTTGGTGGTCAGTGATTGTAAATAGTATGATCTTTTGTTTCGAAATCTTTCTGCTTCTTAGAAATCTGTTGTCACAACAGGGCACTTGATATTAGAAAAGGGACAGTTTTGAATTAACAAAACACAAAAACACAGCCACAAACATACAACCCAACAAACATAGTTTGGTCCTTTCTTCTTAACCCAGCCTGTAAGAACTTATCCTTTGAAATGTACTAAACTGTTCCATTTCCACCCGTGTGGAAAAGCTTTTATGTATTGCGTCCGTGTACCGATGTACGAACCTATAAATTCGGCCCAGCGAAACAGCTTTTTGACCTTCAGAACTACATGAAGGCGATCTCAAATAAAGTGTGGATGTTTTTCAAATCAATGGCACACTACTCGAGGTCGATCATGTTTGCTTTTGAGTCGGATGCATTCCACTCCCACTAAACGGCAAAAGGTATCATTCGCTTGTAGACGGCCTAAAAAATCAGGTTTTCAATGCGTGACCTTCGGTCGCAAATATTGTTGTCAAAGAGGGACACAATAATCTCTTCATTCTGAAAATATCACAGAAAATTGTAACGTATTTAAAGAACACCTCTAACATAGTTAAAGGTTTTTTTGTTGGGTTCATTTTATGACAGACTGTATACTAACCCTACATCAGAACACTACGGCACAAAGTTTCTTTAAGTGTAATAAAATCAAAGTTGAATTTGACGTTGGCGACACGATGCAGCTCTATCTTGCAAAGACCAGGTTCGTGTTTAACGCATACAAATGTATTCCTCTGCCCCCTAATTAAAACTTCATCGTGTTTTATTCGGTACTAGCCAAGGTGCGAAGGGGTGTGTGAACGTGTGTAAGTAAGGAATTTTTCCACACATTATCCCGTGTTTTGGTAGATTGTTCGAAATAATTAACATGCCGAAGTCCTGCGTGGTCAGTGGATGCTCTCAGAATTGCCATTAAATTCCAAAATTAATTTTCTGAGGTTTCCAAAGAGAGATCTGAAGACACGCAGAAAGTGGTTCTGCTTTGTGAACCACATCACAACGTGGTCAGATTTCAAGTTGACGGAGGTGGTCTCTGATCTGGTGTGCGGTGAACATTTTACAGAAAATTGTACCGATGAATCAACCATATTCAAGAGTCAGTTGGGTTTGAAATCTCAGTTTCGACTGAAGAAAGGCTCTGTCCCGACGTTGAAGTCTCCCTACCCTGTAGCAAATGTTTCGACTCTGAGTTCACCACGGCAGGGATCCGGCATGTCCGGAGAAGCGTTTCGGAAAAGAGAAACGGCCATGGTAAGATTGGTTATTCTGTTATCGCTGTATCGAGAAATGGTTCCTTCAAAGGCCTGTCGAGCACATTGTTTATAAATAAATAAGCTGTATAGCCCTGCGTCTGTGCGGGATTTACTCCTTTACCGTGCGCCACGTCGTCCACCATGACGGAGGCCTCGGACTCAAGCGGTACTAGGCCCTGTGGCTCCTCACCACGAACGATCGGTTCCTCGGTGTGCCCTTCGTTGTCTGACTGGAAGTCGGGCGAGTCGTCATCACTTGCTGAGGCCAGTGAATTGCCTTGTAAATCTTCGTCGTTGAGTTCCTCTTGATTACTAATTTAAATCCTTCCAACTATTGTCAAATTCTGCCATAATTAATTTCCGTTCTGGACGTGCATGGATCTCGTGGTTTAGGCCGGAATGTATTGTACGCATACACAGCATGCAAAGAGGCGTTATTCCCATGTTTATACTTCATGGCTAAACGAGCAGGGGGGTTGATTTCAAAATTAATAAAAGCTGTCGTATCTAAAATATATAAACATACCCACAGTGCAGATTATCAATTCATGGATACCAGCCTAAGTTTTTTCCTGCAGTTCTCTCCCCATGTGAACAAAATTGTGGTAGGTTGTGAGTGTGGGTGTGAGTGTGGGTGTGAGTGTGGGTGTGTGTGTAGCTCGTGCTTGAGCGGGTTTGGGTTTCCCCTCATATCTGTTTTCTCCATAATGACGTTGTATAAGCAAACGGCTGACCTTCACGTTTTTCAGAATTCACGTCTTGCCGCGCACAAAGAAAATCCCTTGAGAATGTATTTTAGGTTGGTTGAAAAGACAAACATTATTGCATTATTTATCTAAACAGGTAAACTTCAGAGAGAACATTCAGTAAAATATAATACATACATGTAATACATATATAATATTTAATACAGTAAAATTATATGATAAATAAACATATATGTATAATAAATATAAAATGCATGAAATATATATCTGTATGGCCTCAAAATGCTGTATAAAACTGACCATCCTCAAACCCTCATTTTGAAGAGACCTAAAACATGATGACGTAACCCAATGTTTACGGCAATGCATTGTGCGTGAAAAGTGGGAATAGAATCGGAAGTCCGATACGAGCCTTTGCGCGACTTCAGACGGAGCAAACTTCCGGTCTGTAAAATGCAGCTCTGGCGTTCATCGTGTGCTTGATACACACACCAGTTAACCCTTTCGGGGAAAAATATAGGTCTTGTCGATTCCAGGATCTTTTTGACAATTTTCCATGGGCATGGTTCTTAAGAAACTATACGGTACATTTCAACTAAAAAGCAAAAAGCTTTATAGGTTTAAGGGGACACAAGAATTTATCACTAACGCCATCACGTCATTAACTGTAACGTTATTCCATTTTGTTGGCAGAAACCCTTCTGTATGCAGCTGTATTATTTGATGTGTTGAGACTTCCTATCAAGGCTTTCAATCGGAGAGAGGCAAAACGTTTTCCTCCTTTTTTCATTAAAAAAAATCCTCCCCCCAACGGGTGTATTTTAGTGGGGCAATTCAAACTGCGCATGTCCGACTTTGAGGGTAATATACATGAGTAATGACAGCTAATTCGTACCAGGCAAGTAGTTGTTTTGTTTCATGGAATGTACGTCTTTTTCACTTTTTTGAAACAACAGTACCTTACAAAATAACTAGTTTGCCGATTGTGTTACTATTTCTTAATTTTATTTTTAAATACGTTGCAATGGTCCTAATCCTACAAAGAATATATTTATTTTGTTCAAAGCTGTTTTCGCGAATAGTAGTTTGTTTGTGTTTAAGTAACATTTACCTGAAATTTGAAACAGTAGGCTGTGGTGGAGAAATGTGTGGAGGTTTCAGATTTGTTGACAGTTTTTCGCTATTTTATTCCTTTCCCGACCAGACCCGTCTGCATATCGACCAAAACTCTAAACTGATTACGTTGATTCCCCCTTAAATATTTTATGCCCTTGCGGGCGAATTAATAATTCAGTGCCCCAGGAATGCAAGATGAAGACAAAAAGTATTCAGGTCACGAGAAGTTCATTATCGAAACCAGGTCTGCTTGCAATTATAACATTGCGAGAAGATGTACAAATTCACGAGTATCACGAGAAGCCCCAGCGTTGCATGTGCAAATACATGTACATGTATATACTAGACCTGCCTGAACCACGTACATGCACGTGTTCATGTACACACAGGTCCGTGCGTCGGCCGCTGGACTCAATGAAGTGCGACATTCACGGTACGTTGTTGGATGTGTGTAATAGATAGATAGCACTGCATAGACTGTATCGAAATAAATAACTCAGGAAAGTTGAACATATAAACTAGCTAGATGAAATTGTGCAAAGGGGTATAGAATCCACTCGCATGGTCGCTCCACATCAAGGGCAAACTAGGAATTTGTTTCTGAAACTATCGTTCAATTTTCTTTGCTTTTTTCATCCGAAGAATCGTCTTTACTGCGAGTCCCGACCCAAGAACTGTGCTAATACCGTTTCTAAATTAATACTGCCTTGTAGTCATTAAAAGAACAATTTTTTTAGTCCAATTCAAAATAAAATAAAACTAGAGGGAAGCATTTGTGCAGTGACTAAACGCTGGTGATTGGGGGAAATGCAATAGGGGTAAGTATGATTGCAATTAAGGAAAATATTGAAGTTGGGATTTTTTTAACGTTGGAATGATGTGACGGGGAAAGCAAGTCCTCGACAGATTTTGTGGGCGCAAAGGATGTCTTTCGAATCTTTCATTTTTGTTTAGGAAATGGTGGCAGTGCGGGGTGTTAGTGTAATGCGAAATGGGATGACGTTGTGTGTATTTGTCAACCCTTTATTCTACACGTACAGTTCATGTACGCAATGGATGCAATGGATACGTTTACATCGCTACAGCGTGCATAGAGCGGGACATCGTGTTCCGCTTACTGAATGATAATTATGTCTAACCGATGTGGAGAAAGTGATGAATTTTCAGGAACGAAACTTAACCTTGAAAATCTACTAGAAAACACACCAGTGGTCTCTATCAAAGGGACGTACGGTACGTTGCAATGAGTGTTTGTCAATTTTCAGCTGGAAGAATTTGTCAAGAGTCTGAATTTCCAAACAGCCAAAATGTTTTTTTGATATCTAACGAAATACATGCTCCTGAAGGAAAACGGGTCATCATAGTGTTGGGAACGTCATCATAGTGTTGGGAACGCCTGCAGTGATTGTACGGGGGACGCAAGGCCAGCTGAGGCCACGGGAGCGGGAGCAGCGTGCATGTCGTATGCAACGACTGTATGCCCTGACTTGTCAATTTGTTATCAGCTGTCTGATAAACTATGCATGTGCGCCCATCCCATGTAGCTGTGTACACGTGTAAATAGATACACTAATATGGTAAATAAATACATAGCAATTGTTTTGTT